CTTCTGTTATATTTCCCTCTGCAACATTTTTCACTTCACTTCATAAATTAAAGTCGCTGCCATAAAATCGATTCACGTCCTCAACTCTCGCTCACAATTTTAATAGCTCGATTTCAATTGAGACCTTCGCATACAAAAATCTGTGGCTTCAGCTTGCGGGAAGGGGGGAGGGGCAGAGGAGTGAGAGCTCCTCTCGCGCAGGACTTTCGATTAATAACAACAGCATAAAGGCTTGTAACGGACTAAAGCCTTGAAATTAATTATGCTAATTTAAGCCTTTTTGGCAGTTGCTTTCATGCTAACAAATGACATTCCGACTAACTAATCTGGCCATTAACCGAACCCAAAACCGAACCAAGCCAAGCCAAACGGAATGGAAAGGAACGGAACGGAACGGAAATCTCAGCTGAGCTGAGCCGGGCTGAGCTGAGAAACCTTCGACGTGAGCCATGCCTCGAGCTCATTTTCTGCCAACTGAGCACTTAATACGCCAAAAGCAAAACAACAACAACAGCAAATAAAAAGCAAACAAGAAATGGAAATCTCGCTTTGTGTGTATATGTGTGTGTTTGTGTGTGGGGGTTGAGGCGAAATTGGCCAACTAAGACCCACAGCCATAATTTGGCCTTGGATTTGTAGCCCATTTGGGGAGCTCAGCTGAGGCCGTTACCGAATGACCAACAACCGCAACAGCAGCAGGATTTGTGCCTTCAGGAGTAGCCAAGGCATCCAATACGAAATCGTAAAACCACACGCCTGCTCTTTAGAGCTCTACGCTCTGCGGTCGCTCTGACAGATAGACATTATCCAGTTAATGGAACTAGTTAAGAACTCTTCGCTTTTCTCTTTTTGAGAAGAAAGACATTTCAATTTTCACTTTGTTAATTGATTTCCTATCAGCAGACGTATTTATGGAACTAGTTCATTTTTGGTAAATATTTTCAATTTTGATTTGCATAAAGATATTTGATTAAAGTAACTAAATTAATCAATAAATTCGTTCAGTTTTTAAATTTTTTTGCATGGCTCAGCTTTTTAACTATATACCATATACCATATATACTTTTGAACTATACCACAAATGATCTAGTTCAGCAATTTTAAAAAGTTCAACTCAAATTCTTTTCAATTCTTTTATTCGAGTTTACAAAATTCATATAAATAATGAACACATAATTTATAATAAAACATTCAAGCGAGCAATCACTGTACTTTGATAGGTAAGACAATAATTTAGCATATTAAAGTACAGGGTAGCAGAAGTCATTATAAATTTGATAGCTAGCACTTCAACTTGAATGCATTGGGAATGCATTGATATGCCGCTAATGTAGTGGGAGAGATGTAGTTGCATATATGTACATATATAGCTTTATTTGGTAAATGTCATTCATGGCTAGAAAGCCTTCCGCCCCGACACAAAGTGCATAAACAGAGTTTGATGGGCGGCAGCTGGGCTGGAGAGTTGAGGTAACAGGAGGCGCGCTGCAGCTGCAAATGAAATTGTTTTCAGCCGGAATTTATAGAAAATATATCTGACGCGCTGCTTATCCTTAGCTCTTAGCCAGCTTCAGCTGTCACACGAGCGAGTGCTGCTCCTGCTCCTGCTTTTGCTCCTGCTCCTGCACCAGCTTCTGCTCCTGCTCCTGCTCCAGCTTCTGCTGCTGCCGTTCACTTCCCAACGGATTGCTGTCGTGTTTGTGCTACATGTGAAATCCCCAATGTCAGCGAGGCACAGCTGTGCAATATGAGTAATCCCGATATTATGTAGATACAGAGCCAGAGACAGCAGCAGTTGGAGCTGGAGCAGAAGCTGGGACACAACTCGAGTGCTCAGTGCTCAGTGTGCTCTAGTGAAGCCTGCCTAGAAATGATTGAAGGATTTCGCTACTCAACTTGCAAATACATGAGGCTGTATCTGTCTCTTTGTATGTGTGTGTGAAGCACTTTGCTTTCATTCGTAATTGATATATTACAATTGTCCTTTACTCGACTGAGCCCAACTCTCCAGACAGCGCAGTTCCTGTGTCAAATTGTGCAGAAATTCTATCTCTCACTGTCGCCCAGTGCCACGCCCAGTCAGTCAACAATTGCAGTCCAATTGTTGTTAGAGATATAGCAAATCTATATTTAACTTCGTTTAATAGATCATGCATGTACGCCTAAATTATTCAGATTTCAGCACGAAAATAAAAGCAGCAAAAGAAACTTCCGGGCGCATCATCAACTCGACCAAAAACTGAAACTGTAATCAATCTTAGGGTTACGTTAAGCAGCGGCTGGCAAAAGGAAATACACACATACATGCATATAAACATACGTATATATGTATCTGTGTGTAAGTGTATATAAAAAGCCAACGAACCGCATCGAAAAGTTTCATTTGGCTAGGAAGGGGGCGGGCGTTGAGAAAATCGTGAATTATTTGGCAAATGCTTTGCGGCAAATTTGTGCATCCGCCCACTTGAACCCGCCCTCCCAGTCACCTGCTGCCGCCACCACCGCTGCTGCTCACCTGGCGAAGATCAAAGCGAAATGTGTAACAAAATTGCCAATTACATATAAAACACGCAAAATTGTCTGTGCCCGGCCACCTGGACGGTGGCACCGCCTTCCACCTGTGTTTGTGTGAGTGAGTGAGAGAGAGAGAGAGCTGCTCTAAAACAAAAGGGGCCGCTTTTGCCGGCAATTCAATTCAATTGCGAATTCAATTTTGAAGTTGGCAACGCGACGACGGCCAGCAATGGCAACGCTAACATTGCTGCCAGTAAATGAAGCATTTACGAAACGTGTGGCAACGCCGAACCAGCCAGCCAGCCAGCTACGCGCTCTCTCTCCCCTCTCCTTCTGCCTTTCCCTCTTCCCAATACACTCTCATGCGCAGCCGGTTTTTGTTTGCATGTGTGTGCGCGTGTGTGTGTGTGGGAGTGTGTGGCAACGGCGTAAAACGAATTTGCACTAAATTCTTTGACACCCACCCCGCCATTCGCCTCTCGTGTGGCTCACCCATTGCTATGGCCTGCTGCGTCGACATCTTTTCAGCTGCTGCTTCGCCTTTCGCCGCGGCGCCTTATTGAAGCGAAATTGAATTAGTGCGACGGCGAAAGCGGAAGCGGTTGCTAAGCAGGAAATTGCCTGAAATCAGGCGCACGTAAGCCCCGTCACGCCCCGCCAACCACACACACACACGCACGCACACGCACACACACACACACATTGTATATGTGTGTGAATGTGTTTCATTAAAATCTGAAATGTAGCCAGTTGTTCGGTCTCTGCACGCTCTTGGCTTTTATGCGACAATTGTGTGCCGCTTCTGACTTCATTTGCATGCACCGCCAACGGTCTAACGGTCCAACGGTCTAACGGTCCAACGGTCTAACGGTCCAATGTTCAGTGTCCAATGTCCGCCGTCCAAAAAGTCCACGGCTGAGGCTCGTGATAATGGCATTCGTTTCAGCTTAATGGATTTCGCACTTAAGCGCTATAGTTTTGATTATTAACACTAATTGAAAGTCATTTAAATAATGCAATTTATATTCCTGGTTCCAGACATAGCGATGCTCAGGATAAAAAAGAAAGAAAAACAAAAAGTTTTGAGTCGGAAAGAAAAGTTCATCTTCTAGCAAACAAAGCGTATACTTAGCAGAGAGAGGGAGATAAAGTGACAGAGAGAGAAGAGGGAACGATAAATACAGTTAACGAAAGAGATACAGAAAGAGAGAAGGAAATAATTAAAGTGTATTTTGTTGTATGATTCCTCTTATTTCTGTCATTTTCGTTTTGACTTTCTAAGCAAGACAATTCATAATTTTCTTTTGGATCAAATAATAATCAAAAATCAAAATAATAAAGTGAGATTGAGTAAAAAAAGTGAGACAGAGAGAGAGAGAGAGAGAGAAAAAATTTAACCAAATCATGTTCTTAGAATTCGGGTCAGGCAAAATATACATAAATTAATTTACTAAGAAATGTTCATGAGTTTATCAATTTATTTCTATAATATTTTAAAAATCTTTTAGAAAATTAATCATAATAATTGCTGAAATACAAAAAAATAAATAAATAAAAATAAATAAATAAATACAAAATTTAATATTATATATATATATATAAAATTAAAATATATTCAATTATATAAATAAATAAAGAGCTGAGAACCGTGTACGTATATTTTATATCTATATATATTTTTTGGATTTTATTCACTGTAAAAAACTTTATTTTCACAAACCTAAATTAAATTATATTTTTCACCATAAACATTAGGAAAGACATATATTCAAATGTTGCATAAATAAAACTTTTCATCAAATATAATAATAATATTATATATTATATAAATGAAATATTTTATACAAAACTATTGCAAATTGCAATATGATAATATATAAATTACTATAATTTTATCAATTACTTTGCCAAGAAAGGGAAAGTTAATTTTGAGGGATAATAATAAAGTAGCTAGACACAATATCCATATTATCTTTGGGCCCATTTTGGTAGCCGTAGCCTTTTATATAAAATGAACTTAGCACATACTCCTGTGGCATGTAGCATGTAGCATGTGGCATGCAGCATGTGGCAAGTGCGGCACACTCATGGACGATTTGCAACCAATACCTGCTGGCAGACTGGGCAAATGAATGGAAACGTGTGCCAGAAATACGTGAAACGAAGCGTAAATGAATTTTTCACTCCCCCATTAAAATTTAAGTGCACATTTTCCGGCGCAACGCACGAGAGGATGCTAGCGAGAGGGCCAGCACTGTGGAAATCGCAACCATTAAGTTTAAGGAAGTTTAGAAGTTGGAACAGGACGTGGCATCCTGGCTGCTGCTTGCTCACACAGCTAAAAGAACTTGCCACAAAATTGTTAAATTGTTAACTTGTTAAATTGTTAAATTATTAAGCAAGAGCAAAAGTTTGCACCATCTCTAATCACATGATATCTCTCTTCCTCTCTCTCTCTCTCTCTCTCTCTCTCTTTCTCTCTGCAGATTATATGCAATCGCTGTGCAAGAATCACTTCCTGCAGCAGCTCTATCGCAAAATTGATGGCGCCGTCCTCTGGTCCCAGAATGAGCGCAACTTGGACTGCGTCATCACGTTCCAAACCCACTCGATTCTGCAGCGCTTCATGCTGCGCTTCGACATGCTCCAGCTGGACTGCAATGATCACCTGCTTGTCTACGATGGAGCACACGCTGTATCGACGCCAAAGGTGAGAATAAAATAATAATAAATAAATATTTTATTTTTAGATTTACTGCTAACTTAATGAGTGAAGTTAACCCAAAGCTAAGTGCAATTATTGAGGCTCAGTCGAGCAAACGCATAGGCAAAGTCAAAGGCAATGAAAGAAGGCAAACAAAATGTCAAAGGCAAAGGCAAATAAAGGTAAAGAAAGAGGCAAAGGCAAAGACTTAGGTCAAGGCAGAAGCTAATGCAAAGGCAAAAGCAAAGTCACAGGCAAAGGCTAAAGGGATAAAGGTAAAGGCAAAGGCAAAGGCAAATGCAAAGGTAAAGGTAAAGGCAAAGGCAAAGGCAAAGGCAAAGGCAAAGGCAAAGGCAAAGGCAAAGGCAAAGGCAAAGGCAAAGCAAAGCAAAGGCAAAGGCAAAAGCAACGGCAAAAACAAAGGGAAAGGCAAAGGCAAAGCCAAAGGCAAAGGCAAAGGCAAAGGCAAAGGCAAAGGCAAAGGCAAAGGCAAAGGCAAAGCCTAAGACAAAGACAAAGGCAAAGGCAAAGGCAAAAACAAAGGGAAAGGCAAAGGCAAAGGCAAAGGCAAAGGCAAAGGCAAAGGCAAAGGCAAAGGCAAAGGCAAAGGCAAAGGCAAAGGCAAAGGCAAAGGCAAAGGCAAAGGCAATGGGAAAGGCAAATGCAAAGGCAAAGGCAAAGGCAAAGGCAAAGGCAATGGGAAAGGCAAATGCAAAGGCAAAGGCAAAGCCAAAGCCAAAGCCAAAGCCAAAGCCAAAGCCAAAGGCAAAGGCAAAGGCAAAGGCAAAGGCAAAGGCAATGGCAAAGGCAAAGGCATAGGCAAAAGCAAAAGGATAGCAAATAGTGGCAAAGAGAAAGGTAAAAGCCATTGCGATTTGTGTCGCAGCCTTATGATCCAAATGCACAATCGGAGCACGCTGATGCCTCTGACATTTTAAGTTCAATCCCTGCGGGGTTTCCGCAGTGACACACACACTCACACACACATACAGACGCACACTCACTCACATACACACTCACACTCACATTCTCTCTCAAATGAAGGCATAATTTTAGCCTCTGCAACATTTGCAACGATGACAACGGGCAAGAATGTCGGTCGATCGCTCTGTCGCCTGGTGAGTGGGTGGTGGTGGTGGGTGGGCCCAGTGGAGACTGTCTGGTTGGGTGGTGCATGCACCACTGCGGTTGCAATGCGGCGCCAAATGGCAGCTGCCAACTGCCGGCTGATAGCGCTCTGATTTTATCAGCAACAATTTTCATTTTTCATACGCCCCGTTGGCCTGACGCTGCGCTGCGCACATATATTTTATTTTTTCTGGCTTGTGTGGGCGTGTGTGTGTGGGCGTGGCGTGTGTACGTGTGCTTGTAAGCGCAATGTAAGCCAAGGCAAGCAGCAGCACATAAGCATAAGCAAAATTCTTGAATCGCAGAGAAACCACAACAAAAAATTGCCCAGGAATGCGTCTTTGAGAGACTCGAGCAGAGGGCAGAGCCTGGCCTGCGTTAATTTGGCAATATAATATGCTAGTTGAAGTTAATATATATGCATGCTTATGCATGCCTCCTTAAGCCCAAGTACCGAATATTATGACTGCCGCATTTCTTGATACACGATATAAATATTCCCTTGTACAATATACATACATATATACATATATATAAAAGTGCGTGCCGCAACCTGAATGGCTCCAGCATAATTGCTGTGTCGGCCGGAATGCTCCATAAAAAGTTAACGAGTCGAAAGTTTATGACAAAATCGATGGCACTTTAAGCTTCTAATTACGAAAAGTCAACTCCAGGCCGGACAGTTAAGACAAAGTGCCAATCAATGTAACGCCCGTGCTACCTTCGCCCACCTCGTTTTGTGGCTGCAAAATTCGTGCCATCAACTTCTGTTCGCCCTTCAATTTGCACTGCAAGGGCCGAACAGCGTCGTGCTCTATAAATAATTATATATCAATATACATATATACATATATAGTCTTGTACTTGACATACAATTTTTCTACTCTGTTATTTTTTTTTTTTTTTTGAAAATATATTTCATTACATCTATATGTAATTCCCATTGAAAAGTGGAGTATAGCATACGACTATATAAAATTTACACTGACTATTTCTTTTCATCTTCATTGAATTGTAAATAGAACCAAGCTCAGTCTTATTTGCATATTCGACATGAGAGATATGAGATATGAATATATAGCCATGAATGCTACTGAATACCTTCGAGGCATAAACTTAACCATTATTAATTTGCCTATATTTGAGGTGAGTTTGACAGATCTTAGCATCAGCCTAATTGCCATTCAAATTTGTTATCTTAACAACAGAATTGATTAAGGCCAATTAATAGGCCGCAATTTCAGAATGTCAAATGTCCGTATTATTCGGAAATAATGTTGCAATTATTGAATTAGATATTCAGGCAGTCTGCATGCAATTGTCTAAATTAGTTATTGATTACGAGCAGGCTAAAAGCTCACACTTATTTAACATTATTTATTAGTTATTTAGTAGTTGGGAATTATAATTGAAATTAATACTAACTAGCACTAGCCTTTGCTTGATTTAGTTACCATTTGCCATGGAATGTAATAATAAGTCAATAAGTAGATTTTTCTACGAATGATAAACTAACTTTGAGCATATTTTTATGAAATGGCTTCATTCCGAGTTGAAAGCCGATTATTGTTCAACTTGTATTGAGAATTTCTTAACATTCTGCTGCTGCTTCTGCTGCTGCCTTTTGTGCCTTGTTTTGCTCTTTTGTCGAGTCATACCTTAAGAGCCTTTGCCTAAATATTTGCCAAGTGGCTTGTTTTGCAACAGACTTAGAAATGTTTTGTACCCCCCAGTAGCCAGTCAATTTGCAGTGCTCTGCTCACCTCACCTTGCTCACATTTACCTGGCTCTGCGCTGCGCTGCTCTGGTCTGCTCTGTGCCGAGTCGTTTGCATGTGACCTAAGAAGCTTTGCGCATCTTTGCCTTTTAGCCCGCTTTGCACCTTTTAGCCCTTTTTGTATCACTGCACAATGTGGCGTATGAGCGATGTGGACAGATTTATGAACTTGCCAGCGACTCCTCGAGTCGAGTCTCATTTGCATGCAGCTAGCCACAGCAAAGACGGCCCAAAGCCGAAAGCCGAAAGCCGGAAAACCAATAACATTTGCGTCGAGTCAAGTGTCTTGGCATGTAAATACTTTTGGCCCAAAAGAAATTGTCACTGCTTTCAAAATACAAAATTAAAATTTTGCCACACTGCGGGCGTATGTGTGTGTGTGTGTGTGTGTGTGAGTCGACTTCAAAGCGGCGGGAATGACGGGGCGCACAAAATGTAGCGGAAAGTTTGCGTTTTTGGGGCTGCAACAAAATTAAAATATGCCACAAAATGCCGCACGTCGAAGATGCCGAGCAACTGCAACTGCAGCTGCAGTCACAGAGCCTAGGATCTGTAAACCAGGACGTTGTACCAAGTAAGGCAACCGCAGCAAAGACCTCAACGATGACGCACACACAGGGAGAGTCAGAGTCTGTGTGTGTATGTGTGTGGGTGTGTGTGGGTGTGGGTGTCCAATGCATGTGGGCGGCGGTGGGACGTGGACTTTGATGAACCCCGTTGCAACTTTTAGGTTGCATGCAGCGCCAGCAGCATTACAAATTTACACAAAGCGAACGAGGCGCGGCATGGCACGTGGCACGTGGCATAGAAGTCCTCGCCATCGCCATCGTCATCAGCATCAGCATCAGCATGAGCATCATCGTCCTCCTTGTTGCTGTGCACTTTGTGGCATCAGCGGTGTTGATGATACGAACGAGGGCCAACTTTGCGCCAACAACGGACAGTGGCAAACTTTGCCCGCTTTTTAAGCAAAATTTATGAGCAAATGGAACCTAAGCTGTGCCAATTTTAAATCAACCAATAGTAATACTTTGTGGCTCAAGAGATTTGCTTTGCATAATCAGTAAGCAGAAAAAAACTTTCAAATTATTCATTTATAATTGTGTTGTTTGTTTGCCCGATTTTTATAATGAACAAAATTTGCAAGGCTTCACAAACTTTTCAAGCTGCCTGCCATGGCAGCTTGTGACAGTTGGCGCAAATAATTTTAAGCACTCATACATTTGCACATTATCTTTGCCTATAAGCCAAGCTCTAAATAGCAAGTTATATGGGAATATGGGAATAGTAAGAATATTTCTGTTAAATGACAGATGTAAGAGAAGTGCAACAGGAGTGAAAGCTGCAGACAGAAGCGCTCAAGTAGAAGAGCGCTATAAATAGAACTGCGAGTGTGAACTGTAATCTGAGAGTGTTTTTGCATGTGTTCGTGTCTCACGATTGAGTGACATTAGGTTATGCCAGTCCACAATTTGGTAATGTGCGTAGAGCAACAGAGCCTCGCATCCATTAGTGATCGGATCAAAAGAGAAAAGAGAAGCCAATCATGCATGCATACATACATTGAAGTTGAAGCAACTGTATATGCTAGTGCTCGTGCCTGCTCGAGTGTGTATCTGTAGCGAGAGTAGACAAGCAAGGAAGAGTGATTGAAAGGGAGCGAAAGCTGTTGACAGAAATGCTGTGTAAAGAGCACGACATAAAGTTGAAGCGCATTATAAATGAAACAACGAATGTGAACTTTGAGCTTTGAGCTTTTTGAGTTTACTTAGGTATGCGTTCGTGTATGCTCGTATACGGATCAAATGAAGCGAGCCAATCATACCTGCATACATACATTGAAGTTGAACGTCTGTTGAGCGCGAGCGCATTTGTATGTATGTGCTTGCTCATATGTGTGGATCTGCAGCGAGAGTAAACAAAACAGGCAGGCATGCCTGTAAGAGAAGAGCATCGAAGTTGTGCATCAATGTGTGTGTGTAATAGACATGCAAGCTACTGGAAGACCAGCGAGCTGTATAAATAGAGCTGCTCGTTGAGGTTGTAGTTTAGTAGAATCAGCAAGGCGAGCTGGTGAAGTTGTGGGGTAGGACCACAGTGGACGAAGGGGAGGCATACATATAAAAATTGCTGCACACGACATGCTTATGTAATATTAGAGCATTTAAAAAGTAAATTCATAATACTAAAGCCAAGTATCGAAGCTTGTTTGTACAAGCACGGGATACTCCAAGCCCACAGTTGACATAGTCCTTCGGGCATCCAGGAATTCTAAACTGCACTGCATGCATACATATGTGTATGTATATACACACACTGTATGTGACCTAAATGTGCGTAACTAACCGCAAGCTCAGGGAGAGATAGCAGAATGTGAGGCGCGGAGATGGTGGACTAAGCCCTGGCAACTGATGCCACCTCAAGGTGCTTAGTTGGGCGAGGCTTCGCCATGGCAATGATGAGACTTCACGCGTCAGCGTTGCCATTTCCCTTTGTGGACGTCGCTAACAAGCCTTCAGCGGTGCCCCATTTGCAGGGTTCAGCTAAAGCTTTGCAGGGATCCAACTATGTCCAATTGGGCGAGGCCAATTTAATGGTTGGTCCAGCGTTGAGCATGGTGATGCGAGATTTCAACATTGATGGGAAACGTTTCTCTAATAAATGGTGCACAGCATTGAATCAAATCGACTTGTAGCGCTGTTTCCAGCCATTGATTGTCTGCATTTCGTCTGTCAGCAGTCAAGTAGAAATTATTCATGTGAATTTCATTTGCAGATTGACATCTCCTGTCGGAACACAAAGAACACTGTGAATGCGATATTGACGCGCACGAACTTCGTAACGCTGAAGTACGTGACCGATGGCTGGGGAACGGATGCGAACGGTTTCAAGTTGGTGATAACATCGGTGAAGGATCCCAGTAAGTGGGCGAGCGAGTCGCTTTGGCTGCTGATTAGTTATTAACAATTTGTGACTTTTGCCCATTTGCAATTTGCAATTTGCAGAGCATACGTGCAAGGACTTCACGTGCGCCACACGCGAATTCTGCATAAATCCGGATCTGTTGTGCGATGGCGTCAACCACTGCGGGGACAACTCCGACGAGTCCGTGCAGAACCTCTGCCAGAGTGAGTGGCCAGCCCCATTTAATAATCAAATTGATGCTCATTTCATCATACCCATTTCCCTTCCAGATGAGACGACGAGCACCGTCTTTGGCGTGGACATGACCTGGTTCGTGCTGATTGTGGTCGGAGTGCTGCTGGTCCTCAGCGCGCTCATCGTGGCCATCGCGATCTGCGTGTGCCGGCGCCAGGACGAGAATGCCGCCAACCAGAACACCGCCCTGCAATGTAAGTGGAGGCGCCTCTACTTGGCCTAGCCTGCTTAATTTTATCCTTAACCAAATTGCAGTGCATCACAATGCCGAGACGAATGGATCGTCGAAGCATTTGCACTACCATGGCGTAGGCATGGGCATGGGCATTGGCGGCACCCTGACGAGGGAGCACACCCAGCTGCCACCGGCGTCGGGAAACTGGCATCACCCTGCGGGACCATACGGGTACCACCGCATTCCACACAGCTACTTGAAGATGGCCACCAAAGTCCGTCCCATTTGGTGCTTGGCAAATTCCGTCAATTAGGTCAAGATCTTTCGCAAAACTCAACCGGACTCAGCCAGACGAACATCGCCGTTGCTGGCAATCATCCGAATGCCAATGCCGCTGTCGGCGCCGCTCAAAAGGACGAGTGGTTCGTCTAGGACAATCCGAACTGAGGAGCTGTGAAAGTGAAAGACGCGAAAACAAAACCAACAAAACATAATTGACTTGAGCACAATAATCTGCACTTAATTAAGTGATTTCATGGATATTTGCAGAGCATTAAATGAAGTGCGTAATCGAACCCCAAATTCTTATCAAATTTTCGATTTTAATTTCCCTTTAACTAACCTCTAAATACATTTTCAGGACTGTTTGACTATACTTAACAACAACAACAACAACAATGTGGACATCACCGCGCAGGGTGTATATTTAAGAGATCTACTCGTACCCAGACAGAATCTCGACAGCATTGGGCAACTTGTGCCTTCAACGAGGCACAATCTTGTCGGATATCCAATGCAATTGTATATAGCTTATATATAAATATGATTACACACATATATATATATATATACAAATATATATATGAAATTAATTTAAATTAATTTACAATTAATACAAATAGCTAAAAATCCCGATACCGAAAATAAACCAAACCAAACCAAGCAAATGGCATCAACTAGAGATAACGAATATTTTAGAACATATGTTAGAGATAAACCGCAAATCGGAGCAGGATGGAAGCCGTCAGCTTCCCCAAAGCGTCGAGTCCTTGGCAATTCCTTAATTACAGCTATGTAACATAATTGTTGGCATTTCTTAAAAGAGTATTCCATTCGTTTGTCACGATTATTTTTAAGATTAGTTTTCGATGATATTTCCAACCGAACCGTGAGTAAGCATCAACAATGAATAAAACAATCGATGGCATTTAAAACAAAACTTTTAAATCAGCTTCCCCGTAGCTGTTGAAAGTATTGAAGCTCAATATGAAGAGGTTTAGCTGGTCTAACTTTCAACTAACATGCGAAAGATAGACATACATATATATATATGATTTTAATGGAGACGACGAATTCTAAATATAACTAATATGGACACAAAAACAACAACAACAACAACTTGAACAAGGGATGTACATAAGTAGTAGACAATATTAAAACAAAAAGTAAAAAAAGAAAGAAAAAAAGGAAAACTAAATAACTTCAGAAACTCAATTTGCATAGTTCATTGTCATTGTCTATAAACTGGAGCATATATTAACAACAGATCTGAGAATATGAGAATATATGCTCGTCATCAAATCAACATTAAATAGATTTCATCATTCCATTCGATTCGAAGGAACCACAACCAAATGCTAAATGACAAATTTTTGAGACATTAAAGGACAATACAAAACACAATTTTGCTCTTTTTGATGAAACATTTAAATACATTTTGAGGTCATGAATACTGAAAACAAGAGAGTCCGCATACATTTTTCTACAATCAACTCAATGTAAAAACGTAAACGAAAAACCAAAATGAAAACAAAAATAAAAAGGAAACTAAATTACATTTTGCTACAAGTCGAACAAATACGATTATATTAACTAAAATAAAAACATGGATTAAATAAACGCTAGAAAGAATGGAGTAAAAGCAAAACTTACTAAATCAAATGCTTCAAGTTACGATTGTAGTACTTCCCGCCGTTAATATTTTTTAAAGTACATATTAAAGTTGAATAATAATAACAGTAATACTAACAGATACAAATGTTTAAACAATTACAAGAAGCCAGCTGCTTACGATTCGTCTTTCAAAATACTTCCATAGGACAGTTGAATCTTTATTTCCCTTACTAACTGAGAGAGCAAAAAATAAAAAAAAAATAAACAAGAAGAAAATAATAATTTTAGTTCATTTTTTACTATAAAAATAAACGTACCTACACACACAAGAAATTAAAAGTAAATAATAACCGAAATTGTCTAGGCGTTTGTAAAAAATATAAAAGCTAGCTGCGAAATAATGAATAATACACACATATGTTCCAGAAACCTAGAAGAACCTATAACCATATGATATATATATAGTATATGTACGATAAATATGAATTTGTCTTCTCTTGAAATTATATAAGAACAATTCGATTCTTGATTTTCATATTTCATATTCTTTTGCTTTGAGTCATTCCAATAACTTTTCGAATGCTTTGTACTCCCTTTCTAGTTTTCTATTTGCAAAATAATATAGGTATATTATAAAAGAAGAAGAAGAAGAAGAAAAAAAAAACAAACAAGCAACTTCATACAAATATTTATCGTGAATTATAGGAAGATGATATTATGATAACATGAATTTTTAACCAAAATTATTAATGAAATTGTATTAGGCGTCAAATTTTAGAAAAGAAACCAAGAAATAATTCCAAAATATAACTTAAAGAGAAACAAATACTTAAAGTAACAACAAATTAATCTAAATTATTAAACAAATGACAACATTAATCGTAAAATTGTTTTATATGCAGAAACTAATTTATGCAATACAGGAATATAAATTACTAAATGAAAAAGAAAAAGAAATTAAGCAAATTATGCCCGAATGAGATATCTGTAACGATTGTGTCGTATATGAATGTAGCTAAAATATACAAAAAAAAAAAAAAAAAAAAAAAAAAAAAAAAAAAACAACAAAATACAATTTAATCCAATTAGCGAAAATTGTGCGAATACTAATAATATCTTTCCCCAGGAGATCGTAACTGCTTAATGAGAACAAATGAGAATTATGATTGCAAAGGTGGATCAAACACGAAAGATGCTCGCAATAGAGCACCCAATAACAATTCCCCAAAAGAAAAAAGAAAAAATAAGAAAATCAATAAATAATTTAAAATGTTTGTGAACTTTTCCCATTTTTTCACAATTTGTAAATGTTCAAAATGTGTTAAATATATTTTCTAAACTCTCTTTCTCACACATTCTATCTATCTATCTCTTACTGTCTCTCTCTATATCTCTCTATTGAAAAGACTTTGCTACAAAGAGTTAAACTTTACGTATGTTTGCATGTATGAATGTATGAATATATGAATATGTATGTATGTTCTTAGCTATTAAACTTAAATAATAAATTCCCAATGTTTTATCTGGCATACCTAAGAACAGAAAGATATTATTCAATTAAGTTTTTGATTTTCATTCATACTATCAAATCTGTAATATTGATTCATTCATCAAATAGTGTGCACTTGTATATCGTATATCGTATATGATATATTGAATATTGCACACTGTATGTCGTATATTGATTATCGTAGATCGTATATCGTATATGGTATATATCATATCGTATATACGGCATCGTACAGTCTATATCGTTTATTGAATATCGTAGATCATATATGGTATACCATATATCGTACATAAAATATCCTACTTCTTATATAGTATATCACATGTGATTTATCGAATATCGTACACCGTACACCATATACCATATATCGTATACCTTATTTAATTTTTAAAATTTGGTTGATTTGTATTAAAGAGATGAGAAGCGAACTAACCACGACCAGTTCGACTAGGATCGAATCAACTGATCCACGAGCGCAACTAAATAGGGTATAATACGATAAGGTCATGCATATAAGAAAATTATAGTGGAATATGTTAGACGCAATTTAGATGTAGTCAGTCGTAGGCGTAGGCGTAGGAGTGTGTGCATATGGGTTTTTATACCAAAAGATAGTACCATTTGAATGTACTTATTGTAAGTATGGTTTTTATATCGGAATTCGCTGAATACGCCGGATACCACAATTCATCATAGACTTGCGCTATACATACATACATACATATATGCGTATCTACATACGGTCAGTCAGTCATGTGCATAGGAACTTAGCTGAGATCGAATATCGTATTTTGTATGCACCAGAGAAAATCGTAACCTAAATGAAACTCAAATAATATAAAAACAAACAATAAGATCGATCACATTAAGTAAAGTGCTTGGCTTTGTGTTAAATCGCTGTTGAATGTAAATGTACAATGGATATTAAAATATGATGGCATTGAATTACATTTCAAGAACAATAGAAATCCAAATTCCAAACAGAACTCATGATAATGAAATAAACAATACAACAAATTTCAATTGCATGTTTTATTTGAATCCGATTCCAGTTCCAGCGACCATACAATAAATGCCAATTTGATCATCAGAATATGTAATATATATTCAGGATATGTGAAAGGCTCTCCAGATGTGTTTATATGTGATTGGGTTAGGCATTGATTTCCTCAATAGTCTCCTCTTCAATTATAGGCAAACCTCTATGTGTCGCCTTTGGGGAATCATTTTTCTCGGCTTTCGCGGCTAGCTCGTCCTTCTCCAGCTTCTCCAGCTGCAGTCGCTTGCAACGCTTCTGGGCCAGGGCATTCAGCACCGAGACCACAAAGTAGAAGGCAATGAACAGGGCCAGCAGCTGGAAGAGATGCGTCACTATACCGAACCCAGTGTACGCGGCGTCGCTTTCTTGCTTGTTTTCGCTCATCTTGTGGTGCATGCGCTGCTTGGTGGTGGTCAACAGGTTGTGGAGAGGTGCCTGGATTTTGGAGCCAATGAAGGGCACCTGGCCGAGGGCCTTGACCAGAACACCAATCAGATCCTCGCTGAATGCCACAATCACAATCAGCTGCTGAATGTTGGACTTGAACACCGCCTTCCCGATCAGCGTGGCCACAAAGAACTTCCAGAAGGGCACCAGAAAATGGCCGCAGGCCACTCCAGCTAGATCAAAGAGCGGATTCGGCACGCTGGCACACAGCAGAATGCCAAAGAATCCGATGCGCAGCACCACGCGCTCCACGATGAGTTTGCTCTTGTCAAATAAAGTCAGACGCCTAGACTTCTCCGGCGGACCCTCCTCCTGCTGCAGAGACTTGCCGGAGAGGCGCGCCGCCCTGGCCATGAAGTAGGGCGGCAGCTCGCCCAGGGCTGTGCCCACGCCCCAGAACATGGTCTCGGTGCGCACCTTTGACAAGATCTGCCAGATGTTGGGCATTTTGCGTATATACGGCTCCTTTGGACATATCTTCTGATCCGGATACGGCGGCGCCGGAAAGTCCAGTGAGTGGCATTCGTAGGCGGCCAGAGTAACGGCAGCCAGATGCGGTCCCAGATACAACAGAAATGTGTGCAGCCCGGTGCCAAAGCCCACCGAGGACAACAGGCCCAGGCCCATCCAGTAAACGATAAAGCCGAGATTTTGACGACCCATCTCCATATAGGATGCATGCGGTCCCGGTAATTTATAGATAATCACCAAGGCCAGCAGGCTGCCCAAGAAACGGCGGTTCAAGAGACGTGATCCAAGGCCAATCAACATGCCAAACAACTCTAGGATGCTGTACTGCAGAGTTTTCAATGGTCGCCGCCAAACCACCAAAGACTTGCGCTCCAAGCAATCCATCTCACGGACTGCATCTTTTGCGGCGGAGCTAGCTAAGCAAGCCTCAGCATTGGAAGACATCCTTCTTCTCATCTCACCAAAAGTACAGAAGCAAATGTTTGTTAATATTGTAATTTCTTTCTAACGACTGGAAGAGCCCGTATTGTAATATATGGCAAAGACAACCAAATGGGTCTTAATTACATTTTTTTCGTCTGATTTAGTTGTCAAATTGTAGAATTATTAAAAAAAAGCAATGTGGGGCGAGTCTCAGTATTTAAGTGTCGAGAAATTCTTTTAGCTCAACTAATTTTAAATTATTTTCAGAAATATTGTATTGCCAGATTGAAATATATCGCGAAGGGATCTAAGATTTTATATTACATTTGCATAGCATTTTTAGTTTGATATATTTGTAAAAATGTAGTAATTAAGTTAAAATGAATATTGCAGCAATTCAAAGTTTTGTTTTTCAACTTTCTACGCTTTTGTAACATAAGCTGCAGCTTTACATTCATCTTTACAGCTCTTGATTAGCATAACATACGCTACTCCTTTGATTAACAGTCATTCTACAAGTTAACATTTCAGTTTCTTTTCGTTCATAACAGAACTGTTGCCCCTCCAGATATGCAATGAAATATTTACATTTTATTATGAACTTATATTAAACGAATTAATTTCCAAAAGTTTACTGGGATCTAATAGTCTTATTATATTTTCAATATATTTGATATTTTATTAGTTATTAATCATATCATATCCTATTGAACAAAGCAGATATAAGGAATATTATATATATCTATATATTTATAATATTTATTATATTATTTGTGTCTGTCATCGATTAGTTCCTGCGCTGAGAAATCCAATTGCTTTGCAGCATCCACTGGGTAATTGAATGCTTTTGCCTGCCACAGGGTCATAGGTCCCGGAGGTTGAAGTTTTAAGCGGCTCTTGGCAGCGTCATCCTCACAAGCAAGTCTGTATGCGCTAATTTGCGCTATAAACCTATCAAGTTCTTTTTTATCAACATCATTGATAACATTTGCCTGCAAGCTTTCCAGCAATCGAGCACTGTGCGAAAATACAATTGAATTACGCATATGATTAAAGTGATTGTTTGCATAACCTACATATT